TCTGTTTTGTTCACAGATGAAGCCTCAGCATCTACAACAATACCTGACACAAAGTACACACTCAACATTTATTTGTAGATGAAATAAATGAAGTAGATTGGGAAGAGGGAAATCTTTATACATGGGCCAGCATCATACCAAAACACAATATAACAAGTAAAATGCCATTTGAGTAGCCAGCTAGTGCTGGGACCAAGCGGAATCCCAGGAGATGTTCAGTTCCTAATTCTTACTGTTTGTTTTTCCATTGCTTTGATATTTTACCTGATGTGTCCTTTCTTTTGCCTCCTGAAGAAAAAGAAATTGCCCTATATATAGTAAGGAGCTCCCCCTGGTGGAAGCAACTCTGATAGAAAAGAAAACTGTAGAACAGGCTTTAAGTTATAAAGGAGATCACTGGGGACAAAGGAAGTGACTCCAACATTTCACAGGAAAAGTCCCCAGCAGAAACAAGGGAAACTAAAGATTAGATTCAAAGTACATGGGGGAACTTAGCAACTTATTTTACTGTTGAATCTCTTTTGCATCTGACAATGAGAAAAAAAAAATAATTCATTTACAATTGAACAACATAAGTACCTACTCTTAAGGAATTTTAAATCTGGTAGAGGATGTAAGTCAAGAATACAAATAATTACAAAGCAATGAGTATGACTGCGAATGAGTGAATTGGGGCCAAATAAGAGGAGTAAACTAAGAGCTATGACTTACCCAGGAAAGACAAGGATAACTTTGGGCTGAATAAATCCAGGAAGACAACTTGGAGGGGGTGGTTCTTGAACTGAGCCTTGAAAGACAGACAAAATTTTAATAAGAGAATATTCCAGGTAAAGACCTAAATGTAGGGAAGGGCACATCACGTGGAACCCCAAGTCGGCCAATGGTGCTCTGTAAAGGTCACAATTTGGTTAACAACACAATTCAAACCCCTTCTGGAAAAGGGCAGAGACAGATTCTCAAGAGAAAAGTCCTTGGCAAAGGTAAAACAGGAGGGAACCAAAAAAAGCCCCTTTCCTTATTTTCCCTTGGATGAGAGGAACACTACTAAAAACTATGAGGGGAAAAAGATACAATACAAACTCCATGATAAATAGACCAGCTTACATACTAGAGGATTCTGAATCCACAATATCTAACGAAAACACTAATAGGTATGCAGGGTCTATTCTATTCTGTATTTTATCTGAAGGTAATGCCCAGTGAACCTCCTTTTCAAATGAGGATGTTCTCCCTTTCATTCCCTCTTGTGCACCATCCTTCCCTTGGAGATGCCAAAATGCATCCTGAATTCATCTATCCCTCTCCATGTCCACCACCACCCTCCTAGTCTGAGCCACCATCATCTCTCACCTGGTCTAGTGCAACTTTAGTATCCATTGATGATTCTTGTACCCATTGATGATTCTTAGTATCTAGTACAATTTTAGTATCCACTGATGATGATTCTTGCCTGAAACAGTTATTACTGTGGTGCTTGCCAAATGATAAGTTTCCATTTCCATTATTCTTTCTACATTTATTAATTGGAATGCTACTATAAACAAGTGCTTTCCCTTCTCCCTCATTTAATTATTTATTGATTCAGTTATTTATTTATATTAGTATGGACTCATAGATCCTTATTTTACTCTATGGGTTATAATCCATTACTATCATTATTTTGTTGCTTAAATTGTCCCAGATTTTGTCATTGGGAACGCCTTCAAATTGACTCCTGTATCCTTTTGACACGTCCCCATTATTCCATGAGCACTTTCTTACTTTCTGGTAGAAGACATTCCAACCTCATCCCCTGCGCCACCCCTGGAATCAGCCATTTCTCCAAGGGGTCCTGGTCCCTTTTACTTGGAGAATGATATTTTAAAAACCAAGATCTGAGTGCTAGGTGTATTCATTGGTATTGGGGTGTCATTGCTTCTAGGCTTTCTCAGCAGACAGAGCTAGAAAATATATATATACACAGAAACAACAACATCTTCTTCTGTATGTGTGTGTGTGTCTGGGGTTGTGGGGTGGTGTGTGTGTGTGTGCGCACGCGCACATATAAAACGATGCATTCACACTGATATCTCTGCTCCCCACTGGTCTTCTGTCTTTCCTTACATGTAATTCTTCCTCTGACAGAGAAAAATCTCATTCTCATCATTCATGATATATTTACTTATTTGCTTGATACTAGTGCATAGATTCAGAATTGCTAGGCCATACCCCCATGGAAAACAAACCTACTAACTAGAGAATAGTATTTTTGTATACTTTTCGGGGGGTTTGGTTTTTTTGTCTTTTAGCCTTAGAACAGTAGTTCCCAAAGTGTGGTCCTGGACCAGCAGCATCAGCCTGGGAACTTGTTAGAAATCCACATTCTTGAGCCCCACCCTAGACCTATTGCATCAGAAATTCTGGGGGTGGGGAGCAGCAACTGAAGTTCTAACAAGCCGTCCAGGTGACTCTGATGCATACTGAAGTTTGAGAACCACTATGCTAGATTACATAGTCAAAATACTCTTTTCCAAAGTTACTTAGCACATCAGTCTGCTCGGGTTGACATAACTCAATACCACAGATGGGTAGCTTAAACAATAAAAATTTATTTCTCACAGTTCTGGAAGCTAGAAGTCCAAGATCAAGGTGTCAGCCAGTTTGGTTTCTCCCAAAGCCTCTCTCCTTGGCTTGTAGATGGCCACCTTCCTCCTGTGTCCTCATGCAACCTTTTTTCTGTGCACATCTATCCCTGCTATCCCTTCCTTTTCTTATAAGGACACCAGTCCTACTGGATGAGGGCCCCACCCTTCTGACCTCACTTAACCTAAATTACCTCCTTAAAGGCCCTTTGGCCAAATACAGTCACATCGGGGGGTTAGGGCTTCAACATATGAATTTTGAGGGGACACAATTCAGTCCATAACACTTAGGTTAGTTATTTTCTCCTACCCCTTCAATGTGGTTGTTATTCATTTGTAATACAGTTAAGTTCTTTTGTTTCTGTTTGTATTCCCTCTCATCCATATTGAATTTAAATTTTTTAGTATATGAAACATTAACATGGTTCTAAACATCAGAACTATATACAAAATATAAACTCAGAAAAGTGTCACTTTTCCATCCCTTCTATTCCATTCCCATTCCCCCACCCTTTCTACCCTGTTTCTAGCCACTCCTGTAAGTTACTAATCTCATTAGTTTTGGGTTTATGTTTCCACACAGGGGGTACTGGTTTTCTATGGCTCCTGTAACAAATTACCACAAACTTAGTGGCTTAAAACGCCACAGACGTGTATTACAATTCTGAAAGTCAGAAGCCCAAAATGGGTATCACGGGCTAAAGTCAAGGTGTCAGCATGGCTGTGTTCCTTCTGAAGGCTTTCAGGGAGAATCTGTGCCTTTATCTTTTCAAGCTTCTAAGGGCTGCCTACATTCCTTGGCCAATGGTCCCTTCTTCCACCTTCTAGCCAGCAGCACAGCATCTTTAAAACTCTATGACCCCTGCTTCCATTATCACATCTCCTTCCTCTGACTTTCTCTTCTGCCTTTTTCTTATAAGGACCCTTGTAATTATATCGGACCCACCAGGATAATCTCCTCATGAAACAACCCTTAACTTAATCACATTTGCAAAGTCCTTTTTGTCATATAAAGTAACATATTCACAGGTTCTGGGGAGTAGTATATGGACGTCCTGGGGGGGGGGGGTCATTATTCTGTCTACCACACAGAGACTTTTTTAAATTTGTTTTTAAAACACAGAGTGATAGATGTCATTCTTAAAATTGTTAAATGGCTTCTCCCTACTCTTAGAATGAGCCCAACCTCTTCACCCTTCTAGCCTTCTTTGCCTCCTTCCATTCCTTGAACACACTAAATCCTTTCTGGCTTCAGGGCCTTTGTGCTTACTCTTCCTTCTGTCTACAATATTCTTTCCCCAGCTCCTCTCATGGCTGGCTCATTCTTCCAGTCTCATCTCAAATGTCACCTCTTTAAAGAAGCTATCCCTGATCACCAGATATGTAACAGCCTGTCTCAATTACTGTCATTTAGCCTATTTATTTTCTTTATCATTGATCACAGTCTGAAGCATATTTTTATGTATCGGTTTACCTGTTTTTTGACCCATCTTTCCCACTAGAATGTAATCTCCATGAGGGTGGAGACTGTGTATATTCTGCTGTATCCCTAATATCTATCATAGTATCAGGCACACAGTAGGCACTCAATAAGTGTTCATGAAACACATGAATGTTGTTCCAGTCCCGGTGGGCAAGGAGGATAAGTGTGTTACTGGTCTAAATAGGGTAAACAAAACAACCCCACGGTACTTCAGGGGCTGCTGATGCAGACTGTCACAATTCCCAATGCAATCCAAACAATTTCCTATATGTAATTCACTCAGCAAGTCTTTACTAAATAGCTAATATGCACTCATTTAATCATCACAACAACCTTACGAGGGAGCTATTATTGTTATTATCCCCATTTTACCAGCAAGAAAACTGAGGTTCAGAGAAGTACTGTGGCCAAAGATACACAGCTGGTAAGCTACTACATGCTAGCTAGACTCAGGGCCTATACCAGAGAACAAGTGAACACGGTCCTTGCCCTCATTAGTAGTGAGTCAGAGAATGAATCCACGCTTACAGGGCAGTGTGCCAAGTGTTATGATAGAGGTCTGCTAAGGGTGCTACAGGCATACTGGTAAAGGGCAGTGAAATCAGGGTGAGGAGTGAGGAGGCTTCTGGGAGGAGGAGGCACTTGAAGTAAGTTTGAAGCATAAGTAGATCTTAGCTAGATGATTAGAACACCAACTAGCTAGCTATTAATAGGGCGCATGCTATCATTTACCTTGATGAATTTTCTGTTTTTCTAGGGTCTGGCCTTCACCTCAGCTTTGCAGGATAAGAAATCCAATCTTGTAAGTAACCGAGTCATCCAGAATTCGGAATACTGACAGCTGCTAATAAAGCTCAGGAGAGAATGCAGTTTATAAATCAGAATGTTCATTTAACTGTAGAGTGGGCATTCCCTCCCCACAGGTGTGCCTCCTGAGACAGTTTTGTGGTGGGCCTAGAACAAGGATCCACAAACTTTTTATTTAGAGGGCCAAATAGTAAGTATTTTGGGGTTTGTGGGTAATATATGGCCTCTGTCACAACTACTCAACTCTGCCGCTGTTGGGCAAAAGCAGTGATAGACAATACACAAAGAAATGAGTGTGGCTGTGTTCCAGTAAGACTTTATTTACAATAAGACTTTAAAATAGATGGCAGGCCAGATTTCATTCCTAGGCCATACTTTGCAGACTCCTGGCCTAGAAGAACAAAAGTAGTTACATGCTTCAGATGCTTAATCGCATCAGGCTTTCACAGCCTGATGTATCCATCAATGCTACAGAGATAAATCTACCTCCGTATCAGATTGGGTATATTCTCTCCTGAACAGTGCTTAGATGGACACTCCAACGTTTGCCTCTCTAGTCCCTCCCTTTTAATACTGACCACTCTACAAAAGTCCACCCCATTCTAAAGCCTTGGGGATAAGAAAGCTCTACTCACCAGTAAAACTCCAAGGGAAATGCCAGCAGCATCAGTTCATATTCTGCAGTTACTTCACAGAGAACGCCCTGATCCTTTGTTACCTGCAGGAGGCGGGGCACTCTACATTCTTCCATGTGTCCCCCAGAAAAAGTGACAGATTGTCAATATTAATACTTACAAGAGGCAGTAGCATGTAAGCTCCACGAAAAGAGAGATTATTTTTTAAATTAGAACCTTTTATTTTTACAAAAGCAGTATATGTTCATTGTAAAAAATTAGAAAACAAAAATAAGTAAATAAAAACATTATTTTCCCACTGCCCAGAAATTACCACTGTTAACAGCTTAGTATATATCCTTCTAGATCTTTTCCTCGGTATATATGACACATAGATACATTTTCTACCAAAATGAGATAATATATGTACATAACGCTTTGTAACTGCTGTTTTCAGTTAATGACCTCCGCCATTGCATGTTAATGTTTCCATCTCATCTAACACCCATCCATATTCAAATTTCCCTAGTTTCCCCCAAAATGTCATATAAAGCTAGTTTGTTCAAGTCAGGATTCAATCTCAGACCACTCATTGCATCTTTAATCTCTTTTCATTTAGAATAGTATCTTTCTCAGGACAGGAATTTTGTTTGCTGCTGTATCCCCAAGCCTTGAACAGTTCTTGGTACATAGTAGTAGCTCAGTAAATATTTGTATAATTAACTAATTAATCAAAAACTTAAGAGGATGTGGGGGGTTCACCATAGAGTTTATCTCATCCACATATCACCCTCAATCTCCATTTTATAGATAATGAAAATCAAGACCAGAGAAGTGAAGTAATTTCCCAAGGATACACAGCAAGTATGTGGCAATTGCTTTCCATTCCTCTGTTTATTCTACTAAACCAAGAGTAGGAAAACTTTTTCTGTGAAGGTCAGATAGTAAATATTTTAGGCTTTATGGGCCAAGAAGCAAATCAGGGCTATTATGTAGGTACTTATATAACAAGAGAAAATAAATTTCCATAATTTTTTATAGATGAAATCCAAAATATAATAATTGACTACAAGGTTTTGTAATACAGGTCTACTAATGAGAAAACAGAATGGAAGAATAACATTTTCTTTAATTGGGGTTGAAAGTTAGTGTTCCCTATCATCAAACTGATTGAAAATGTTCATCTGAAAAAACATTCTTAACTCACAGGTCAGAATTTGCCGACCTCTGTCCTGTATCATGCTGCTTGTCTCTGATTTGGCTTTTTCTTCAAAAGCTTGAGTGAAAATAACGTTCCTCTTAATCGACAGGTGCAATGGGTTCTGGCTTATTGCAGTTACATGGTACTAAAGTACCAATGAGGAAAAAAACTCCTTAGCTACTCCTTTAAAATGTTGATCTTGTCTTACTTCAGTTACTCCAGTACCTAACAGTTGGTAATGCCTGTCTTCTTTCATTTAAATTGCAAGAAGGTAGCTTGCATTGTGACCGTGGCTTTCATAACTAACCACGTGTTAATATCTAATGGGGCTGACCAATTTAGAAATCAGTGCAAGTGAGGATGATGAGTGGCCTGTATCAGGGCTGATTATTCTTCTTTCTCAAATAAAAACACGCTATGCTATTTAAAGACATAGAGGGAAATATCCAAAGAGAGAAAAGAATAGAAAGTGACTGCTTTTGGGGGAGCAGGGATGGCAAGGAAAGCCGGGGACTCCTTTCTTTTAGAATAGAAAGCCGCATAGAACTATCCGTAATACTACGTGCATGTATAGTTTTGAGGAAAGTACATGAAAGAAAACCAGAGGCACATTAAAGCCCCTTCTGGAAAAGGCTTATTTAATACTTTCCTCCATCCTCCTCCCACCCTAGGTTAGGTGTCCCTCTACTCTGCTCCTCATAGCATCCCATGCTCAACTCCATCAGAGCACTTGACACACTGTACTGTCGTTAGCTATTTGTCTGTCTCTCTGAAGGAGCCATGAGCTCCTTGCAGAGAGGGGCCATGTATTATTCATTTCAGCCCCAAATTAAAGTATTTAAAATTTAAAATATTTAAATTTAAAATGTAAAAAGGTATTCATTAAAGTGAAATAAAACTAGCTAACCAAATACCACTCAGTCTAGGCAAATTAACATCACAATGAGATACCAAATAAAAAGACAGACAAAATAAGTGTTGGTGAGGATGTGGAGAAATTGGAACCTTCATACACTTACAGATGGGAATTTTAAATGGTGCAGCCACTTCGGAAAACAGCCTGGAAGTTCCTAAAAATGTTAAACATACAGTTATCATACGACCCAGAAATTCCACTCCCATACCAGAGAACAAGTAAACATGGTCCTTGCTCTCTGTAGTGGAGAGACAGAGAATGAATCCAAGCTTACAGTGCAGTCTGTTAAGTGTTGTGATAGGGATCTGCTAAGGGTGCTAGGAGAGCACCAGCGCAGGGCAGTGAAATCAAGAGAATTGAAAATATATGTCCACACAAATGTTCACAATAAGATTACTCATGCCAACCAAAAAGTGGAAACAACTCAAATGTCCATCAACTGATAAAGAGAGAAACAAATGTGGTATATCCACACCATGGAATATTATCTGGCCATAAAAACAAACGAAGTACTGATGTGTGCTAAAACAACGATGAACCTGGAAAACATCACGATAAGTGAAAGAAGCCAGACACAAAAGACCATATAGTGTATGATTCCATTCATATGAACTGCCCAGAAAAAGCAACTATATAGAGACAGAAAGCAGGTAAGTGGTTGTTAGGGCTAGAGGTGGGAGGAGAGATTAACTGCAAACAGGCTTATGGGAATTTGGGGGGAGGGTGATGGAAGTGTTCTAAAACTGGATTGTGGTGACGGTTGCACAACTCTGTCAATTTACTAAAAATAATTGTACACTTAAAATGAGTGAATTTTATGGTATGCAAATTATAAGCCTCTAAAAAAAATCCCTCAATCTATTACATTATTTAGTTTCTCAACATTTTTCCCCCAACTGGACTAGCCCATTACAAGACCTGATAAGAAGAATTCCGGTGAATGAAGTTTCGGAAGCATTTTTGTCGGTTGGGGCTTGGGGCTGTGCCGACAGAAACATTCAAGTCAGCAGCTCTCTGTGAAACTGGAAGATGTCTCCAGGTGTACAATGTGTTTGGGTTGGGCGATCCCAGTGTGTAATCTGGATAAGCTGTGGCCTCTCTGCCAGATTCAAGCGTAAGTAGGCCTAAAGCCTCTACTCTAAGCAATAAACTAGTCAGGCAACGAGTTCGCTTCTTGCAATTCTCAAGCCCTATTCATAACCAGGTGAATTGTCCTATTACGGTATATCCTTGAAAATGCTGCTTTTTTTTTTTTCTTTTGGCAACTCGGTCAGCGCTTATTGGGCAAAGATGTCCCGCCAGAACAGCCAAAAGATACAAAGACAGAAACTCCACCTGTTAGGCCCGCTCCCTTGGGCTACTCCAGGGGAAAACACACCTCTCCAAGGGCGGTGGGGAGGTGCAACTGGACGTAACAGCACCTCTCAGAGCTGCGAGAAAGGCTGAGACCAAGTCCCTGCTTCTCTGGGTTGCGGGAAAGGAGTGAAGTGTCTCCTCCCAAGGCCTCCTGGTGCCCAGGAAACTCACGCGCCTGCTTGTCACGGTCGCCAGGAGGCTACAGATAACGGCGCCTGGACTTCAGTCGCCGTCGCCGCAGCAGCCCCACCGTGAGGCCCGCGGAGAGCGAGAGGAGGAGGCGGTGGAGGAAGGAAAGCCGCTCGAGCGGACTCACAGCTGTCCCGGGCTCCACCCGGTGGTCCCCACTACCCGGCGCGCGGCTCCCTGCTCACGCGGCCGCCGCCCCTCCGGGGACGGGCTATTGTGTCGCAGCGCCCCCTGGCAGCTGGAAGCCGGAAAAGCTGGCGCCGCGGGCACCCGCCGGCTGGAGCATGCGCAGACGGCGGGAGGGCGGCTTCCGGTGCGCGGGGTCGCCCAGGCCGAGGTCAAGGGCTCTGCGGCAGAAATGGCGTCGCCGCTGGGCCCCGTGAGGCCGGAAGGAGCGGACCCAGACCTAGCAGGAGTAGGTGAGGGCCTTCGGCTTCTGCCCTTTCCTCCTTTCTCCCCAAGGGGAAAAGGACCCCAAAGAGGGCAGAAGGGGCAAATCTCTATCTTGAATCTGAATCCCAGATCCCTTCTGCAAAACTGGAACAGAATAAGGCAGTTTTGTTCAAGTTGGTTTTTCTTGATGTTCCTGAAAAGATGTATTGGTAGCTGCGTGAATGGGGCTTATTATTACTTCCCTGAGCCTCAGTTTCCTCTTATATAAAATAAGGATAATAATAGTGCCTACTTCACAGGGTGTTTGTGAGGATTAAATAAAATAACCCACCTAAAGGGTTTAGCAGACTGGTTAAAGCTAGCTATTTAATTTGTCAGGGCTTAGCAAACACCTAAGAGCAGGTGTCATCTTTCCTCAGGATTCAGGGAAACACAGAGATTTTGACACCACAAAATAAACACATCCTGAGGTGAATTATTCGTAAAAATGTTATGTATATGAGAATTAAAACAGTCTATCCCCACACTCAGCCTGGACACAGAAACAAAACCACACCTTACAATCTACATAAATATGACTTTGCTAGTCCATTGTCTTCATTCACGTTACTTTTCCAGGACTCCCCTGTCCAGGCAAATAATTTCCTCATTACAGGAACTTCCCCAAAGACCCACCAACTCTTTAATGGAAAGCATCAACAGTTTGCACCCTAAAATTCTTTGAATCCCTTTCCTCAAAATCTTCCCCTTGCTGCTTCCTCCAATCCTAGACTGTTGGTATCATGATCCTTACCTAATCCTAATCAAGTCCCCATGGTGAAAGACCTTCTGCGTTCAACTTTCACTTCTCAATAAATTCTCACCTGTCCTTTCCTCTCTGAAACACTGCCAAAACTTTTTGAGGTGGAGTTCTCCTTATTGAGATAAGCAATAAATTCAGCTTTGTCATATCAACAGGCATGTTGTGGGGGCCGGCCCCATTGCCGAGTGGTTAAGTTCGCTCGCTCCGTTTCAGTGGCCCAGGGTTTGGCCAGTTCAAATCCCGGGTGTGGACATGGCACCACTGGTTAGGCCATGTTCAGGTGGCGTCCCACATGCCACAACTAGAAGGACCCACAGCTAAGAGTATACAACTGTGTACTGGGGGCATTTGGGGAGAAAAAGGAGAAAAATAAAAGATTGGCAACAGTTGTTAGCTCAGGTGCCAATCTTTAAGAAAAAAGAACAAGCGTGTGGGTGACATTCAAGGAGCCAGCATTTGACAGTTTTGAAAGCCCCACAGAGATCCAGTGGAGGCTGAGACTTCATCACCACAGCTCAAGACCTTCAACTTGGAAGCAGTGTGCTCCTCTGAGGCCTCTTGAACCTCCTGCTTGGGGCTCTCTGACAGCAATGGTGAGGTATGTAGGTTTCACGTTGGTTGAAACTCTGATCCCTTTCTTTGAGCTCCTGGTTGCTAAGGATTCTAATCCAATAGCCCACATATCAGCCACTATGAGAAGCCATTCCTGACCTTGGATTATAGGGCCCTCTGTGATCCAACTGTCCCCTGGCTCACCCCTGCCATGGCTCTTACCACTCTTGTTTTATTCCCAATGAGCTACTGCACATAACGTTAAGCCTAGTGGGGCAAAGGGTCCAGGTCCCTGTATTGTCATCGTGAGATGAGCCTGTGATGTGGCTTGGGGCCTGGGTAATTTTATGGTGATGTCTTTCCCTCTACCTCAGCTACGCCCACCATCCTCCAGCTAAGCCTGAATTCTCTCCTTTCATTTAAATCTTCTAATAGTGTGCTCAAAGGAGTTTTATCATTTTCTTTCCCTATGTCTTTCAGATTTTATATTAATGTCCCTCATTATTTTATTTTCAGATGTTTCCACCAATTCTTTTGCTTTTTCTATGAAAATAATCATATTTACTACAATGAATGGTCAGTATTTGTCAGCCAGTAACAACACAGTGTTTATTTCTTGTAGGTTTTTTTTTTTGGTATGTTTTTATATTTGCTCAGGCTTTACCCCCCTTACTCATTTTTTTTTTTTGCCAAACAATCCTTATTTTATGCTCTTGAAATTATTACATTTATTAATAGAAAAAGAAGAGAAATATTTATAACCATGTCATATATAAAACTCCATAGAGAGCATAACTCAATAAAGTAAATTATACATACAGAGTTAGAAAAAATATTTAAAAGAAATATACCAAAATGTTCAGTGGTTACCTATGGTTTATTTTTTCTTTCTGGATCCTTTTATGGCTATTTAAATATTAGTCATATAAAATCTTTTACATAGTTTTGTGACATTCTAAATATTTTACTTTTATAACAACTGTAAAATTATTTAATGAGTAAAATAGTATTACAGTTTGGCAGATAGAGAAGGAAAAAGTTTGTGTGTCATTTCTTGAGTTTCCAATATCAATGATACTAAAGAGATTCTATTTTCAATTATGTTTTCCTGAGCTAAATTAGATTTTAGTCCATCCAGGATATTTAAAATCAACCTCCATCATGTTCCCTCTAGGAAAATTTAAGTTCTTTTACTTAGAAATTTTCAACACCTTTAACCTGTGTTTGATGAACAGGAAACTGGTCAAATATTCATATCTGCCTATTACACTTGCCCCAATAACTGATCTTCCACTATTTCTCAGTAATGTCAATACTTTTACTTGCAAGATATGATGAAAAGTTCACAGGCTTTGGTACCAGACTTTCCATCTGTTTACTGGCTATATAACCTTAGTCCTGTTGCTATCTCTTACTGAGACTCAATTATGTCCTCTAAAATGGGGTTAATAATTCTTACTATATTATTGACACGTTCAACACATAGCAATTGAAAATAATATTTATTATTATTACTTCCAATTATCCTTTAATAGAAGGAAAATAGCAAACAGTACCTGAAACATTCATATTTTACAGGGCAGTTGTTTTTAATATTTACAAATGCACATGGAGTCACATGGAGTGACATGGAGTGAATTTGAAACACCTAAACCTAAGGTCTGATAATATGACATGCATGAAGCTACAAAGAAACCTATCTCGCACTTTCTGCCATGCTAGAAGCAAATGGTCCAAATAATAAATGACAGCCTAGGAGAGTGAGAAGAGAGCAATTGATCTAGAATGTCTTCCAGGTTTCTGATCTCATCAACTAGGTGGATGGCAGTTCAGCAGTGAACTGTTCTCTCATTAACTATGTCCTGTCCAGCCGCACCTGTTCTGGGAGAGCAGCAGTAATAAAGACTGCTGTTCACTGACTGCCTACTGTGTGCCAGACACTTCATTCATTCCAGCCACAAACTTTTATTGAGAGCTAGCTTATGTTCCATGCAGTGTACTAGGAGCTGGGAATGCACCAGTGAGCTAAGCAGAATAAAATGTCTGCCCTTGTTGAGTTTATATTCTAGTGGGGAGAGACAGGAATAAACAAGTCATATATAAATGAGTAAGTCATGTAGTATAGTAGAAGAGAGGCACCTGGTGGAAAAATAGAACAGGGAAGGGGGAATGGGAGTGCTGGTGGCTAGGTGTGCAGCTTTAAATGGGCTGTTCAGGGCTAGCCTCATTGAGAAGGTGCCATTTGAGCAAATACTTAAACGCAATGAGGGATCAAGGCACAGGGACATCTGGAGGAACAGTAACAACAACCAGTGAAAACACTTTGAGGTGGGAGTGTGCCTGGATTCTGTGATAAGATATCCAAACAACACTGTGCTGGCAGGGGGGCTATAAGACTAATGGAGAAGACAGATAGTTATATAAGCAATTACAACAAAATGATAAGTACTACCTAAGATACAAGGCATGACCTTTAGTGGAGTCAGAGACAGCTGTCCCGAGGGAGTGCCAGGGCAGATGGTATTAGAAGTTTAACAAGGGTTTTGCCAGGTGAAAGGGAGGACAGGCTGATGGAAAAGCATGCTGGGAGTCAAAGATAACACAGATGACCTGGTAGACTGGTGGTCTTTCAAGCCTATTTCTAGAGGGGCCACATTTCATTCATCCAGTTAAGCTCACACCCAGAGTTTTAAATGCATAGCATCCCATTCCAAGTGTGGAGCCTAATTTATTCAACCAAACCTTACTCATGGTCTTTCAAGTTGCTTCCGGTTTCCACTATTACAGAAAAAGAGGTAAGGTAAACATCTTTGTTCATAAAAATGTTTACACTTGTTCCGTTACTTTGTGAACATCAATTTCAGGAATTTAAACTGCTCGATTCAGAGGTTTTCATATTTCATACATTTCCCAGTTGGCCTTCCAGAAAGAATGTGTCAATTCTCAGTCCTACGAGCAGTGTGGGAGAGAGACTCTTTGCCCACATCCTTACCAGCAGTTTATTTTTAGTATCTTATCCCTGAAATTGGATATGAAAATAAATACGAGAAGAAGATGGTTTTGGGCTCTGAGAAGGAAGTTTCCTAAACTGACAATTTTTTCTGTCTCCTTCAATAAAAGAAATGAGACTAAGGCCTTCCTACTGTGCAGACTTTAGGTCGTGAGTATGACAATTCAGAAATCTATACTCAGGATACAGCTAATAGAATGATCAGATATTTTGTACCCATTACCTTAGGAATGACTTTACAGCAGCACAAGGATAAAGACTTTGGGCTCTGGGGAGGGGCGGATCTGACGTGCAATTTCAGCTCCAACCCTTACTAGCTTTCTGATCTCAGGCGAGTTACTATAACCCCCTGTGGCTCAATATCCCTGTCTGTAAAATGGGGATGGTGAACATGGTACATATCTGAGGGAGCAGTTGTGAGAGGCCATAATACATTTTGAGCTCTGGTCTGAGATGAGATGCTGCAGCTGGGGATCCATACATTCTGTCAGGATGAGGCGTGAGATCCAGCCCCACTCTCTCTGCCCCCTTTTATCCTGCCCCTGAGATCCCTGGCAGTGACAGAATTTTGGGTTACCTGGATTGTAAAGCTCTCCTCAGACCTCGGTCATGTCTCCTTCCACCACACACTGGGGAGTCTCTGTGTCCCTCCGAAATGAGCTCCCCACATCCCTAGCTCCCATCTGTTGCTTGGGGGAGTGGTTTGAGTGGGGGAAGACTTGACTGGTCTTGAGCTACCTGAAAGGATAGGGGTGCTTCTGACATGGGGAAAGAAAATGTTTCCTAGGGACACGCCAAACTAGGAGAAATCCTCCTCAGCAGTCAGTAAGTGTTGCCTTATCATCCCATCATCGTCATCATCGTTAAACTCTCAGACATTTCTGAATCCACTGCTGTCCCTGTCAGTGGCCAGGCTTTGTATAGCTCCTGGAGCCAGACTGTCACATCGTCAGATTAACACACAATAAGCACTGTCTGCATGGTGTGGGCAGCATTTGATTTTTCCCCATCCTTCCCTCTGTAGCAGAGTAATGGTAGCTACCTTTTCTTGAGAGCCTACGATGGACCAGCCCTATGCTAATCACTCATACACAGGGCACACCTGAGAAAGGCAGGTCTTATTATCCTGAATTTATAAACATCAGTTTCCTCATACATCATATGTGGATAATAACACCTACATTATAGGGTGCTGTGAACACATGAGAGCTAAGACATGTAAGAATTGTAGCCTTCTCACCCAGGAGTCTGACTTCTGGCTTCACCACTAACTAGCTGCACGACCCTAGGCAAAGTTTCTTAACTTTCCGGCCTGTTTCCTCATCTGAAATATGTGCTAATAGTAGTGCCTATCTTATGAGGTTGATAGGATTAAAGGTGCTAATACATTTAAAGGACTTGGTACAGGATGCCTGACACACCATAAGCTCTTAATAAATCACAGTTGTAATGATTTTTATTTTTGTTACTGTTATAGAAGGATCGAGATGAGGAAGAAGATTCATGCAAAGGAGGCTGAGAAGTGGGCACCAAAAAGCTACTGGAGCAGGGAAATATGAGAGAGGGGTGTCATGAAAACCAAGGGAAAAGAATGCCAGGAAGGAGGGAGACATAACGCAAAAGGGCACCCAGAGGCCAGTTCCCACAAGACAAAAGAGCAATTTTCATATCTTAGCGACCAATGAGAACGAAGGCAGAAGGGAAGAAAATAAGCCCATAGTTTTAAATGGAGCCTGTTTTAAGCTAACCCCATTAGTCTGATCTGAATGCCCAGGTATTAGTTCCATGTCCTCTAATTAGGGAAAACACATATTACTTGAGTAAAAGAAAAGCCAACGTCACATGAAGTGAAATAAAAAAGAAATGTCAAGTTACATCAAGTTGGTGAAATAAAAATTTAGGCAATCTTAAATTTACACCAAAGAGGATAGGAGGGAAGAAGAAGTGGATGAATCACAGAAGAGGTTTTCAGAGCAGTGGTCTACACTGAACCCCAAGCTAACACCGGTGAAAAGGAAGGTAGTGAAAGGGACAGAATTGATTTATTTTTCATTTTATCTTTCTATTCTACCTGGTGCCAGAAAGAAATTATGGCAGCATAAACTGTGTCTTTGGGCAAATATTCAACAAGTGTTCATAGAGTAAAACCGAGAAAAGATGAGCAGGAAGTGGAATGATATTCTAATCTGAATTAGATGAGGAAGATAGCTCCCAAGGGTAGATAGAGGGAGTAGAGAGGAATTAAGGGTTAAAACCTATATGAGCTGAGGAGTGTTGGGGCCCCCTATATCTTTGGGGGCCTAAGTGGAACTGCCTCTTGCCTGGGGGTAGCTCTGGAGAGATGGAAGTGTCTACCAGGGTCCCAGAGGTGCTCCACAGGGATGCAAAGAGTGGCCCTCTTGAGTCTTTGCTCCTTGCCAGTTCTCAGTTAAAGGGTCCAAGGTAGAGTGGGTCTCCCAGACTCCTTCTGGCCATGAGGGTTAAGGAGGCTGAGGCTTAAGGCAAACAGGGAATGCTAGGGGTGGGATGGGGGTGATGGCAGAGCCCAGGAAGCTGAGCCTCCACTCCCCTCCACCAAGAGATGAGCCTGGCTGGGGAGGTGAGGGGGTAAAGTCAGATTGTGGGGTCACGGATGGAGCAGGAGCAAGAAGCCAGAGAGGAGTTGAGGGGCTTTCTAGAAAGAAAAGCACTTCAAGACAGGTTCCAGGCATGACAGCCCAGGGAAAGCTATACTGGTTTCTCCCAGCACCTGGCTTCTGCCCCTCCCTCAGGGCCTCAGCCTGCACCCCTTTGTCGCTACTGAGCAGCCCATCAACTGCTAGTGTAATTAGAACCCCAGTATCTCTCCTTGGACCCTCAACTTGTGCCATTCCTGGTACAACACAGCCCAGAGTTCCGTAGGATTCCCCGGAACCTGTGATTCCTACCAGGCTTCTTGTCCCTGTCAATCTTTACGTGAGTCTCCCTGGTCATCGTGCCCTCATCGGCTCTCCCCTTACCCACACAGCTCCGTACTTCTTCCCTGACACAGCTTCTCCCACTGCTGCATACTCTGTCCTCTCAGCTCTGTGGAGTCCCTATTTCTTGCATGATGAACTCCCTCATGTCCTCAGGTCTGTGTATTCATTTCGTTCTCCACCCCCTGCCTTAAGTGCAATCATCACCACACCCCCAGCCACGTCCTGCTCAGAGAGAGGGACTCATGCACCTACCAGAAACATAGGGACCCTAAGGGTCTGACGTCACACATATCCTCTTTTATCAGCCTCCATTATGAGATCAGGAGATGGGACAGGGCGGGTTCCTGAGGAGGTCCTTCTCCCCTCTCCCTCCCCCATGAATGCCCCCCACTCTGCTAAAATGGTGTGTGGGGCTTCCTGGCTTTCTGATCCCCATGTCCCTTCACGTGTCCTGGCAACTAGATTGCTTTTCATCCCTCCCCAGCTACTCTCAATTCTTGGGTTGGGGCGGGGTTGGCTTGGAGTCCTCGGGCTGCTGTGTCCTTTAGCATGTAGCTTCAGGGCTTACAGAGTAAGGCTGAGTGCTGTCAGGAGCTGAGCCTCCTGGTGCTGGGCTCCCCTGAGTAGCTGCTCTCTCCTTTCCTTATCTGGGGAGTGGGGAGAGGGCAGTGTCAGGCCACAGGAGAGATTGCTGGTTGTGACCAGGATGTTGTGTAGAAACAGCAGCAGCAGCAATCTAACAAATGCACCCAGAGGAGGGAGAGCTGCCACTCACCTGGGTGACCAGGAATGGAGCCCCAGGAATGCCCATTTGGGGCTGTTACCTCAACGCCAGACTCTCCATCTATCAGACTCCTCTGAATATGTTAGAGAAGAAAGCACCGGGGCACTGTCAACTAGTAGATGCCATAGTTTGGCTCTGTGACCTAAGGGACAAGTCAGCTGTAGTAAGGGACTCTGTCCATTTACCTTTGGGGAGTATTGCAGCCCATTTCTTCCTCCCTTTTCTTCCTCTGCAAAATGAGGTTGATAAAAACCCCACCTCAGAGTACAACACCCCCCCTTTATAGCTTTTTACTATATTTCTCTTATTCCTTTTTCCTTTACCTTTTCCTAAAAATAGTACCACAGAGGCATTAAAATAGATGCTGATATATATTTATTGACATAGAATAAGCCCACAACATATATTGTTTGGTGAAAAAATACAGACTATAGAACAGCACTTATATTTGATCACTTTTATCTATACATATACCTGGGTATGTAGATATAGGGAAATATCTAGAAGGACATTCATCAAAGGGTTGACAATGGTTCTATAAGGGTGGAGGGTTTGGGGTAATTTGTACTTTTTGTACTTTTCTTTATTGTTTGAATGGTTAACAATGAATTATGCCACTTTCACAAAGAGAATAAAGCCATCAAGGAAATGGGCACACACAGAAAATAGACCCTTAGGCAGCGGGGGAGGGCAGGAGTGAAGAGCAAGAACAGAGGTCAGGCCATCTCCCTCCACTGTGCTGGTATCCAAGACCTTTCTCCTCCACCCCAAAAGAAAGCCACTTTGAGGATTAATTCATGCAATTAGAAGCACTCCCCCCTCCCCAGTTTTCCCATTGCTGGACTCTGAATATGGGTTAGGGTTCATTTAAGGCTGGGGGCTGGCCCCTCACTGTGGCTCAGAAGGATCATTGGGTTCGCCAGGGGCCTCTCTTGACCCGTCCTCCTCTATGTGTGTCAGCTCCTGCAGGGTGATGATCAGATTCTCAAACACCTGGGCCTTGTTGCTCTCGTCACAGGTTTCCTTTGAGTGGCCCTCCTCACCACAATACGAACAGCGGATTGTGTATTTTCGCTTCCTGGCTCTAAGCATATCCCCAAGACTATCATTCTTAGACCCAGAACCACCACTGGTGGAAGGAGATTGAGCCCGGGAACTGTTGGGGGAATCAATGACTAGCACTGGATCCCGAAGTCTGGCCCTGCGTCTGGGGGGAGGAGAGCTCAAGAATGAAAGTGGAGGGTCCTGAGACTCCACCAGGATCACATCCTCATCTGAGTCATTGAAGGTATCATCTATCTCTATCACGTTGCAGTTGGCACTGCTGATCTCTATCGGTGGAGGGCCCTGAAATGCCACTGGGCTGGTTGCTCTCTCCACCATTGACTCAGATCTCTTGGCCCGCTTCTGTTTCATAAAAGTGTCATCCCAATCCTCTTCCTCCCTTATCATTCTGATTAACTCTAGGAAATTAGGAAGATGCTCCTGCTCACTTGCATACATTCTGAGAAGATGCTTTAGCCTGAAGCGCAGGTCCCCATTCAGCTCAGCCCCTAAAAGGAGCTGCTGCAGGCGAGTCTGGTTCGCATCTTTCTGAGCTATGATCCCTGCCTGAATAGCATTCTGGAGCTGCACCTCCAAACGGATCACATAAAGGGAGGCTTTCTCCCCTTGTGCCTGCAGAGTGTTAAAAAATTTACCTTGAGCAGTCACACTGCTTTCAGACTCCCCAAACACCAATTTCATCGCACGCAAGAAATCTGCTACACTTAGGTTGGGGTTGGCCGCCTGGAGCAAACGCATGACCTCCCGGGCAGGGCCCCTAAGGGTTTTCATCAAGCGTTTAAGCTTTTCCTCCTCAGACATATTCCAATCTGGCAGGACCCCATTGACTTGGATCAGCCAGTTTTCAAAGGTTTCTTCCCCCTGTGCTGGCACCACCCTCCCCGAGAACAACTTCATGTTCCTCTCTGCCATGTTGGCCATTAAGGGACCAAGACTCCTTCCCAGGGACCTCAGCATTGAGTGGGCCCAAGGCGGCAAGTGTGCGTTCTGCCGCCGGCCATTACCCACGCGAGAAAGGATGCTAGCCATGTCTGATGATGATCGGGTATCTGAATATAACAAGATGTTCAGGCTTTTTGGAAAAGCCTAATCTGCAGGCGTGGCGGGGGGGGGGGGGGGGGTCTCTGCTTTCCTATCTCAGTAGAGACTGTAAAAAAGAAAAAAGAAAACGGGAGGAGGGGTTAATAAGGGAACCGGCTGCAGCTATATTCTCTCCCTTCCTGAATATCCTCCAGTACGTTTGATATCTGCCCACTGCCCTAAAAATATCCTCCCGGAGACTGGCAATCACAGCCTCACGGAGCCAGCCGGTGTCTCCGTGTTGGCAGGGTGCTTTTTACAGCCACATCCATCCCCTCCCGCCAGTCCTTCAAGAGGGCGGGCAACTGTTGCTTCTAAGTGTAACAGGGTATGGAGCTGACATTGGGCTCTCAAAATAGAGCACAACGGTCACAGATTTGTGGAAATAAATAAGATCTCATTAACCTCACGGTCTCAGGTCTCAACCACACCCCCTTCTCAAAGTCCCTCCACCCCGCGTTATTTCTCAGATTCTTACAGGAGCTCAGGAACAAGCGCGCGCCTTTATTTCACTTCCAGCCTCTGCAACCTGTGGCCTCCGTGAGAAAGCTCGCCTCCGAGGTACAGTCGATCTCTGTCCACCGGGGGACGCCGATCCGGGACCTCAGAGCGTCAAGACTGCGACGCCACCGAGGGGAGGACAAGGCGGGGAAGGAAGGGTCAAAAGCAGCCTCATCCCTCATCCTCGCTCCCTCCCTGTCCACACCCTCTCCCCTCCCCCCGCTGCCTCTGCTGTAGCCAGGCGGAAAATACCCTCTCCCATCTTTTGAATACAAGCCCAAGCGACCCCCGCCCCATTACATTTCCCCCGGGAAATCGTCGGCCTACCAGCTCTGCAATCAGCCGCACAGAATTCAAGTTCGCATTCGGTTTTGATGACCTGCCAGGGAGAAAGGCAACAGGAGTTGGACACGCACACCCACATATTCCTCCCCAGGAAGCGATGAGGAGATGCAAAGGGGGTTGAAGGCAGACAGCTTGAAATTCCCACGCCCCTAAAATTGCCCCCCTCTCAATCCAGGCAAATCCTACCCATTGGGCAGCATCCAGTGGAACCCCACCTCCTCCCTCGGCGCAGCCGGGCCAAGGGAGTGCTCCTTCCTCTGCCTCGCAGTTCTCGATTCCCCAGGAGGGGAGCCGCCCAATCCTGGCGGGGCTTCCCCTTCCTCTCTCCGCGCTGGGCAATCGCGCCCCCTTTCTTTACCTATGCTGTGCTGGTGGGTAGCTGACGCTCCGGCGTTGACAGCTGTGGATTCCGCCTCTGGTCTCCGCCGCCCTGCAGGGGAGAAGGACCTGCGCCTCTTTGGCCGCTAAGGGACCCGGGACTGCCAGATGGAGCTGCTCCGCAAGGCTGCCCAGCGAGGGGTAGCCAAGTAGAGGCAGCACAGTTCCCACGGCAGCCGAGGCTGCTTTTATCCTCTGCCCACTGAGACAAAAGAGCGTGACGAACGGGCCGGCGCGGCCAATCAGCGGGGCATGGGGGCGGGGTCCCCATGCAGCCTAGGGCCCATTGCAAATATACGCCAGAGGGGGTGGGGGGTGGGCAGCAGGTCCTTGGGGTGTCAAGTGCAGCTTGGCTGCACCGACTGAAGGAGTTTGCGACTCTTCTTTCTCCCTCTCTTTCTCCCTTGGCTCAACTCCGGGCCTTGCGGCCAGATGCATTAAACACGAGGTGGGATAGAAATCAAATAAAAGTTCTTCACCTTTGTATAGGGAGGAGGGGATCAAAAAAAGCATTAGTGCTTTCTTGTGCAAAAAATCTTTGTGCAAACAGGCGTGCACAGACATCTCTTTTACTGTGAAGGAGGTGACAGTATGTCTATTTAACACTGACGTGACTTAGACTCCCAGCCTCATAACCAGTACTCGCTAAAGTAGGGGTGCAAGGCTGGCTGCATCAGAATCATTTTGGGGAGCTTGTTAGAAATGCAGATTCCTTGGGGGCCGGCCCGTGGCTGAGTGGTTAAGTTCCCGCGCTCCGCTTGGGTGGCCCAGGGTTTCGTTGGTTCTGATCCTGGGCGCGGACATGGTGCCGCTCATCAAGCCATGCTGAGGCAGCGTCCCACATGCCACAACCAGAAGGACCCACAACTAAAAATATACAATTATGTACTGGGGGGCTTTGGGGAGAAAAAGGAAAAAATATAAAATCTTAAAAAAAAGGAAATGCAGATTCCTGGGTCCAGCCTCTGGAGGATTCTGATTTACCAGAACTAGAGCTGGGAGTGTGACTTTGTATTTTGTGTTGTTAAACAGCTCTGTAGGTGATTTTGAGGTGTGGAAAGGATGTTGAATAAATAAACGGACCTCCCTCCAATGTATCTGCTCACAGCATATCTGTGGCGAAATGCAGTTCCAGAGGAGATGTTCCTACCTGGGGTCCATGATCTTCCTGAAATTGTATGCAAAGATTTTGGACTCTGTAGGAGGCTGAATAATGGCCACCCAGCTATATGGAGTCCTAATCCCCGAAACCCGTAAATGTTACCTTATCAAGTAAAAGAGTCTTTGCATATGTGGTCAAATTAAGGATCTTGACATGAGGAGACTATCCTGGATTATCTGAATGGGCCCTAAATCCAATCACAAGTGTCCTGATAAGAGAAAGGAAGAGGGAGAGTTGATGCACACAGAAGAGAAGGTGATGTGAAGACAGAGGCAGAGATGCAGCCACAAGCAAAGGCATGTCGGCAGCTGCCAGAAACTGGAAGAGGCAAGGAACAGAGTACAGCCCTGCCCACACCTTGAATTCAGCCCAGAGAAAGTGATGTTGAACTTCTGGCCTCTAGAACTGAGAGAATAAATGTCTCTTGTTCTAAGTCACCAAATTTGTGCTAATTTGTTAAGGCAGCCATAGGCAACTAATACAGACTCGGTATTTTTCTGAGTCCCCAGCTTTGTAGATTTTTAAATGTGTCTGTGGCCCAGCAATGGTTAAAAGCCACTCTCCTACAATCTTTCTTCATTAATACCTTCCTCCTTCAATCTATAGTTGAGGAAGAAGTGTGAGGAATGAAACACAATTCGACTAGATCTCCGAACCACAGCTCTCTGCTGCTGACACAGCTCTTCCTCAACTCGAGGAAGTGTTGCCAGGTTGCCCTTCTGTGAGCTCTTGAGGGGATCTCTCCTTTGCTGTATTTGGCATCACTGGCCCGGGAGAGGTAGCAACTCCGTGGAAATGCCATGCAGGGTTGTCTGAAGTGAATGAGCCATGGAACCACTGGCTCATGTATTAGTTTGCTAGGATTGTCATAACAAAGTATCACAGACTGCGTGGCTTAAACAACAGAAATTTATTTTCTCACAGTTCTGGAAGATGGAAGTCCAAGATGAAGGTGCCCACAGGATTGGTTTCTCCTGAGGCCTCTCTCCTTGGTTTGCAGATGGCTGCCCTCTTACTGCCTCTTCACAGGATTGTCCCCTTGCCTGCTGGAGTCCCTGATGTCCAAATTTCCTCTTCTTATAAGGACCGCAGTCAGATTGGATTAGGACCAACCCTAATGGCCCCATTTTAACTTAATCACCTCTTTAAGGCCCTATCTCCAAATACAGCCACATTCTCAGACCCAACTCTCAGGTCTGGGAATTAGGGCTTCCACATAGGAACTTTGGAGGGACACAACTCAGCCCATAACACTCTATTTTCCCTTACTGGGAACGCTTACTGGGCTCTGGGAAAGCATGTCTTCTTCCCTCACGTAGAGCGTGGCTAGGAGGTCCCTGTGGGGCTTTTGGGGGTCAGGGTGGTGGTGGCATGCACTGCACAAGTGGACTGCCCAAGTGCAAAGTTGTTGCTGTTGCTTGTTCTAGACTGCTGATGCTTGGAAGCGAGTGGACAATTGTGCCCTTCAGCCTCTGTTTGGTTCATCTTCAGCCTGCCAAGGTACTTCACCTGCTCCTTTCTGCTTTCTTATTTCCCGCTCCAGTACTTATAACTCCTTAGAGTAGGCAATCCAAATTTGGAGATGAAGCACCTTCCATCTCAGCACTGCGGCCTTTCTCTTGTGGATGGAACAGTGGGGTGGTGGCGGTGGTGGAGGTAGAGAGAAGGCAGATTGGTCATCTTGCAGAGACAGGGGTGATGCTGGCAGTAGCTTATGTGTTACCTTCAGACTCTTCCTCTGGCTCCCCAGTGCTATGATATATGACCCTGACCTCTAAGCAGATTCTTGTTCTGAATTTAAATGGCTTCATCACCAAATCAGGCGATCTGCAGTTGGACACGGTGGCATCAAAAAATACAAAGACTAGACCTAAGAACTCTGACAAAAATGTTGAAAAGCAGTGAATTGTGTATCAGGCGCCTGGGTTGGGTCATTAGGACAAAGTAAGGGTCTCTCCATGCAGGGCTGCGAGGAACATTTGCTAAGCCGGCTCCAGTTGGATATTGAGCATCCCTTTTCTCTGGCCTCATGTTTCAGGATGTCAGGAGGCACTTCCAATTGCAAAGATTCAGACTCTTGTGGCTCTAAGGAGGCCACATTTTATTTTCCAATTGCAAAAACACAAACTTTAAAAACGTGAAACTTAGGAACCAAAGTTTTCAGTTGAAACAATAATAGCTACCTTTGGCTGCCTTCCTCCTCTGTTTCAGGAATTTTCCATCTGTTATCTCATTTAAGCATCTCCAGCAACTCTATTAAGATAGACATTGTTCTCCTATCAAAGGAGCTGAAGGCATGCAGGCACTTCACACTAGGGTTTTGACTCATCAAAAGTCAAAGCTCGGATCGGGATGCTTATGGGACATCCTGCCCATACCAAGCTGGAACCCCAAGGGCAGCAGGTTTCACGAAAATACTCAACAAGAGGGTGAAATAAAGATATTTTTAGACAAACAAAAACCAAAGAGAATTTGTCACCAGTGGACTGCGCTAATGGAAATTCTAAAGGATGTACTTCAGGAGGAAAATGATCTTTGAAGAACGAAATGCAGGAAGGAATGAAGAGCAAGGAAAGTGATAGTATGTGGGCAATGTAAGTGAATATTGACGGAAGAAGGAATCATAAAGAGTCTATTCTGTTTTTTAAAAATAAACTTAAAGTACTATACAATAACAAAACGTGTCAGCAGGAGTGTAAATGGAATTCAACTTTTCTAAGGGCCTTGTATCATATCAGAAATGATTTAGGTATTTATTAAATTTGTATTTTGATAAGATAATTACATATGTAGGAATTAATAGGATGTAACTATTAAAATAATAGCAACAGGATATAAATTTACAAACTAGTAGAGAGGGAAAATAATTGAATAATTTTAAAAATTCTCAGTCAACTTTTTTAAAAGTCAAGAAAGAAGTGAAAGAAACATAGAACCAATACAAACACAAAATAAAATGGTAGTTTGAAACACAAATATATCAATAATTTTATTAAATGTTTATGAGCTAAATGCTCAAGTTAAAAAAACTATTGTCAAATGCGATTGATAAATACTCACATACAGGGGCTGGCCTGGTGGTGCAGCAGTTAAATGCACACGTTCCGCTTCGGTGGCCCAGGGTTCACCGGTTCAGATCCCGGGTGGGGACATGGCTCTGCTTGTCAATCCATGCTGTGGCAGGCATCCCACATATAAAATAGAGGAAGATGGGCACGGATGTTAGATCAGTGCCAGTCTTCCTTAGCAAAAAGAGGAGGATTGGCAGCAGATGTTAGCTCAGGGCTAATCTTCCTCAAAAAAAAAAATACTCGCATACATTGTTTAAGAGACAAATCCAAAATATAAGGCTCCAGATAGGTTGACAATAAAAAGATGGAGAGAGATAAATCACACAAATAGTATATTAGTGATAGAAAACTTGTATAGCTATATTCATATCAGACAAAATACACTTAAAAGCAAAAAGTATTATTAGAGATATAGAAGTTTACCTCTTAATGATAAAAGGTTCAATTCACTCGGAGTATGTGCTTATAACAAAACCTCAAAATATGTAAAGGAAAATTTAACTTACTAAAAGGAGAAATAGACAAGTACACAATCACAATGGGAGGTCTTTCTACACCTCTCTCAGTAGTTGATCAAGGACACAAAGAAATGTCTCTAAGGATATAGAATTTTTTAACAATACAATTAATAACTTGAGGTAATAGCCAATGTATAGAACACTGCAACCAACAACTATGGAATACACATCCAGGACATTTTATAAAATATGACCATGTACTAGGCTAGAAAGCAATTCTGAACACATTTCAAAAAATTGAAATTTGATCATAATGCAAATAAGTTACAAATCAATAATTATAAAAGATAACCAGAAAATCTCTGTGTGTTTGGAAATTAAGATACACGCTCTGAAATTACTGCTGGTCAAAGAAGAATGATAGTGGAATTAAAAAACATTTATAGTTGAACAATAACGAAAATGCCGATATCAAAACTTGTGGGATGCAGCTAAGCAGTGCTTAGAAGTAAAAAAGTTATCTTTTAGCAACGATGAGAGACCAAAAGTTAATGAGTTAAATATCCACTTCAGGATTTAAGAAGACAAACCACATAAGCCCAAGAAAATTAGGAAAACGTGAAATTATAAAGATAAGAACAGAAATTAATGAAATAGAAAGCACTAAAAATAACAAGTCAAGAATGTCTTCTCTTGACACTTTGATTCAACATTGTACTAGCGGTTTTGGCCAGTGAAATTAGGCAAGAAAAAGAAAGAAATGGAATCCAGATTGGAAAGAAAGAAGTAAAACAATCTCTATTTGTAGAAGACATGATTTTGTATGTAGAAAAGCCTAAGGGGATGAGTAAAGTAGTTCAGCATGATTGTAAGATACAAGATTGATGTATAAAAATCAGTTATATTTCTATACACTAGCAATGAATAATCCAAAAAGGAAATTAAGAAAATTTACAGTAGAATCAAAAAATAAAATACTTATGAATAAATTTAAGAAGTGCAAGACTCCTACACTGAAAACCTCAGAACATTGTTGAAAGAAATTCAAGATCTAAATAAATGGACAGATATTTCATCCTCATGAATTGGAAGACAAT